ATTTGACCAAAATTGATATGAACGATAACCCAAATTGTTCCTGTCGGGAATTCGGCGATCCACAACATATAATGTAAATGTATTTTTAGATAAATTGTTAAAAATTCCAGGCATCCATCAACCTATTATTTTAAGCTATTTAATTTCAATCAACGATAATTCCGATTTATACCAACTGTTGTACTGGCATTTGTTAAATATTAATGTTAAATTGTAATGTAAAATTACATTATAAATCCTTTGTATTTTACCTTTGTTTAGACCTCTCAAACTTTCCGTGGTCGTCCATGTTATTGTACAAATCGTCTAGAAAGACCGTTAGGCCTAAAATGTGTCCCTGTTTATGTTTCCTCTGGGGGAAAAAATACAAAAAAAAACAAAAAAAAACAAAAAAAAAGTCAAACAAAAAAAAGGAATTTAAAAAATATATATTAAAAAAAAATTGGAGAAAAAAACAAAAAATAAGGACTAAAAATCCGCAGTCATAGAACCCCAAACAAAAGCAGCCCTACTACTTCTCATGTTTCAGAAAATGTTTCTTATAGTTTTAAAAATGTTCGTTTTATTTTTGATAATTGTGCCAATTATGAAATAACAGTAGGTAAAACAGCTAAAGTCTGTTCGCTATACTTACGCGGGTTTCGGATTAACAAAATTATGCAAATTAGTCATTTACAACCAGTTCCAATAACCCAAGAAATTAGGTAAAATTGCCCTAATGGTCAGATTTAAATTAAAATAACATTAGGGTAGGTACTAAATTTGTTACAAATATTGCAGTTGAATTGATTCTTTGCAAGTGTTGACATTGTATGTATATTGTAAATTTAGTGGAAATTTTAAAAATGCCTAGAGGCGTGTGTTAGATGTAGATAGTCTGTACAATATAGTCTGTACAACAACGCGTATGCGATGCTCTAGGAATTAGTGAAACCAAATTAAGAGGAGTATTACAAAATCACAATAGTGAACTGCCGAAAGAAGATCACCGCAAAACTCGCCTATCATTGAAAACGAAAGATATTCCAGATGGAAAGAAATTTGAAATTCGTGATACCATTTATCGAATGAGGGCCAACAAGGAACGTGTATTCTATAACGGATTCTATAACGTATTCTTTAATTATTCTATAACGTAATCTTTAAAATATTCTATAAATTAATCTATAGGGTGTTCTATAATGTATTCTACAACCTATACTGTAACCTATTCTATAACGTATTCTGTAATGTCTTTTATAACGTAATAGTATATAATGCAACGATCATGTAATAACCATTACATGAGAGTTTCATATGTTATTTTTTTCACACCCGATAAATAATCAAGAACTATAAATATTATATTTATATTTGTATTGAACAAAATAACAGTAATTACTCGTATTTCTATTAAAAATTCTACAAAATTGTAATTAATGGTATTATCTCGGGTATTGGTATTACCATACATTTTTGGGGTAAAATATTTTTTACTGCATTTTCTGCTTTCTCCTATATATGTGGAGGAGTCGATGTTAAGTCTTCTATATCGCTGATATCAGACATTTTGATAATATAATTATCGAAGTTTAGCTATCTACGAAAATTTAATACGTACTGATTTTGACAACTAAAACAATTACATAGGAACTTAAGACAAACGTTAAATGCACCGCATGCTTGATTGAAAAATCATGGGTTTCTATTGATTAAAAATCTGTATCGTTATGAATAATTTGTATCATAATGGGTATCATTATGAAACGGATTATGGGCATTTAAGTGCATTATTATAATACGGATGTAGAAAAAAATAATAACAATACCCTCCCTGAAGCCAACTGAGTTTGTATGGGGAACGGACGGCTATTATAATTTGTCGTAGTGCTCCGGGGCGACTTAAAGATGATTGACTTACAGGTGAGCAAAACCCGGAAAACCCCACCCACCATCATCGATACGGTGACGCATGGCGATTCTATAAAACGCATTATATAACGTATTCTATATTGATTTTACAACGTAAAGTATTCTATAACGTATTTTATAACGTATTCTATAACGTATTTTATAACGTATTCTATATCATATTCCATAACGTATTCTATAACGTATTCTATAAGGTATTCTATAAGGTATTCTATAAGGTATTCTATAAGGTATTCTATAAGGTATTCTATAAGGTATTCTATAAGGTATTCTATAAGGTATTCTATAAGGTATTCTATAAGGTATTCTATAAGGTATTCTATAAGGTATTCTATAAGGTATTCTATAAGGTATTCTATAAGGTATTCTATAAGGTATTCTATAACGTATTCTATAACGTATTCTATAACGTATTCTATAACGTATTCTATAACGTATTCTATAAGTTATTATATAGAGCAGCGTTACTCAAAGTGCGGTTCGCGAAGCCCTTGGGCTCCGCAAAGCCTTAGTGGGGTCACCGCGAAGAAAATAAGCAGTACCTATCGTTACAACGGGACTTGGCTTGAGGACCTTTTTTGTCGATTTTAGGAGTGAGTAGATGAGTTTGGTATTGTGGGACCGTTTTTTGTGGGACCTTTTTTTGTGGGACCTTTTTTTGTGGGACCTTTTTTGTGGGACCTTTTTTTGTGGGACCTCTTTTGTGGGACCTTTTTTTTGTAGGACCTTTTTTTTGTGGGACCCTTTTTTGTGGGACCTTTTTTTGTGGGACCTTTTTTTGGACCTTTTTTTTTGTGGGACCTTTTTTTTAAGAAGTGAGGAAGCGGAAAAGAGTATATGATTTGGTATTTTCGGCTGGATGACCTTTTCTTTTGTAGGGGCTCCGCAAAGAAACGGGAGGGACCTGGCAAGAGGCTAGAGCATAGAAGACTTTCCAAAATATGTTTAGGGCTCCATCAAATATTTCACTTTTCAAAAAGGTTCCGTCGCCAAAAAAGTTTGAGAACCACTGATATAAAGTATTCTATATTATATTCTATAACCTATTCTATAACATATTCTTTAACATATTTTATAATGTCTTCTATAACTTACTCTATAATGTATTCTTTAACGAATTTTAAAATGTATTCTATATTGTATTCTATAATGTATTCTATAATGTATTTTATAATTTATTCTACCGGTTGTTCAAATTAAAGTGTTACAGGTAAATACCGCCGAAAATATGCATTTTAGAAAAAAAGTTTCAGACAAAAGTTTTTTGGGGGAAACATTTTGGCTAAATTAATTTTTTTATAGCTGGCCATAATATGGCCATATCGAGGTGGACTTTGTTTTTTAAATGGGAATTCCATTTTTTTTTACATATTTTTAAAGTACATTAAAAAATAAGAAACTTTTGATGGAAATATTTTTTTTACTGCACTTTTACTTTTTGAGTAACAGCTACTTGAAAATTTTGCAGGGCGAAAAAAAAGTAGGCCATATTATGGTTAGCTATAAAAATCGATTTTAGCCAAAATTTTTTCCCCACAAAACTATAAAACTTTCGTCTGAAACTTTTTTTTTATAAAAGGCGATAGTTAGCTGTAACATTTTAATTTGAACACCCGGTATAATGTATTATATGATATATTCTATATTGTCTTCTATAATGCATTTTATATAATGTATTTTATACAATTTATTCTATAATGCGTTCTATAAGGTATTCTATAATGTATTTTATGATGTCTATAATTTATTGTATTGATTTTTATAAAATAAATGGTCTGAAAATACATGTTTGAGAAAATTTATATTGACTACTTATATTATTTCCTTGGATATTTCACTATATATTTATAGAGAAACGTATATCGATGAAATATTAAAATTTCATTCTTGAGAAATGAATATTTTTTATTTTGAATTTAGATATATTTAAGTGGTAACCGTATATATATTTATTTATTTTTTATTACCTATGCAGCGTGTCCTGTAAATCATGGAATAAACGAAGGGAGGCAAGAAAAAAAAGCTATAAAAAATATATATGTGTGGCTTGGTATAAGAAGTGCATATGTCACTATTTTGCGTTTTTGAGATAAATCTATCAAAGTATTAATAAAAATGGAAATTTTTAAAATGGCAAAATCCCATTTTAAAAAATTATAAATGTCTATGTCATTTATTAACTACTTAAAACTTTCCTTAATTGACAAAAAAAACTATTCTCAATTGCACATAAACTGACATATGCACTTATTGTACCAAGCCACATATATAGTTGATATCCAATTGTTGCCGATTCAAAAAATATTTGAAATTTTTGATTATTGCATTACACTGTCTTATTTCTCAACAGAAAGTATAGGTATAAAAAACTTTAATGAAATCGAACATGTTTTGGTTTACAAAAAATGTTACTCAACTTTGAAGTTAGTGTCATTTGAACAAAAAGAAGTTTGAAATGGTACCCTACCATCAAAAAAGTAGGCTACACCATTATACTTAAGAAAAAAGATTATAAACAACACCCAATTTTTTTTCACAAGTTTTATTAACTAGTAAAAATGTAAAATATCAAATAAACTTGAAACCATCAATAACAGATAATATATTCTGATGGAAAACAACTATTTTCATCCTCTTACATTACTACATTTGATCCATGATTAAAAGGACACCGAGTATATCTATACTGTTTAAACACTGAAATTTCAGAGAAATTATAATTAAGAAATTTTGAATACAAATTTTGGTGAATTTTGACTCCACCAACTTAAAAATATTTATATATTTCAGAAACGGTTTGAGCTAGAACATTCTGGTTTACTGCATTTAACTAACTTCAAGATGATTATATAGAAGTAATAGAATATCTATGATATCTCAAAAACATCTGAAAATACCTCAAAATTTATAAAAAATTTGGTCAACGTCAAATATTAAAAAAAAATTATTTAATTGTACCAAGTATAATTTAAAAAAAAAATGTGGGACTGATAGGGTTAAGACATTTTGTCATCATTGTCAAAATTTATAAATGATTTGGAAAAAAATATCGCTAATAACTATTTTTAATAATTTAAATAATTACTAACCTCTGGTGCACATTCAACTTTCCCTAAAAATAATCCAACAACCCCGATCACTATCAAAAACCAAGGAACCATATCGTATCGTGTATTTTGTTTACACATCACTGCAATCAAACCACGCACACCTCGCGATTTACCGGCAACTAACTACCAGTACCAACTAGGTACCACTTCCTTCGGAGATGAGGTCCACAATAATAAGAATAAGGAGTCGCACACACCGATGCAAGATCAGAAGTCGCGAGTTCACCAGGTCACAACGTTGGAGAGCAGTTACTACTGATGGTATTGGTACCGTGGTACCCAGCTCGTGCTTCGATCTTATGATGACACACTCCTGCTGCCGATTCGTTTCATTTGCAGTAGGGTGGATAGATTGCGAGGAATTCGCGGATTTCGAATATACGAAATTATCGGAAAATTTGTTTATATAAATCTCGTGAATCATAAATTGATCATCTAACAAAAAAGTTGTGAAATGAAATATGTGATTTTTTTTATCTACATTGGAACGCGATGTGTATCTAGATAATTTTTACAAAAAAACAGAAATTCCTGCTTGGTGAATGAAGGTTTTGGCATAGGTAAAATAGTTGTTTATGATACAACCCACTAACAAAATTCAATTGCTTTATTTAGATGAGTATCATACAATCCAACTTTTACTAAGAATACAGGGTGAGCCATAACTAATGGGACTTGGAGTAACTTCAGATTCTTTGTGATCAACATATGAGCATTGAAGCAAATTAAAATTAAAATGTTGCTGTGAAAAAAAGATAAGTCTAAATATCAAAGTTGAAATACTTTTTTTAATTTTTGGTTAATAATTTCAAAAGATCTTTATAATTTCCTGTAACGGTAGCGTAGGTGTCGGCACGGCATTCATTTGCCAGCCAATTTTCTGGTAAACGAGACACGCTTTCAAATCCCACGGAAGACCATGTGCATTTATTTGCATGGTTCTCTATAGGATTTGATGGATGCCATATTAGCAGAAATTTAATTTCTGTTGATATGACATCCAGATTATTAAAATAAAATCACCATGCGTTACCGTTTTCGATGATGGTGGGTGGGGTTTTCCGGGTTTTCCTCACCTGTAAGTCAAATGGCACCATCAATCATCTTTAAGTCGCCTTGGAGCGCCACGACAAATAATAATAATAATAATAATATCGGTCCCTTTCCCCGCACAAGCTCAGCTTTTGGGGTTAAAATTCACTCGTAAGGGGGTAAATTAGGGAGAGTATTATTATTATTAATCTTCAGACTTGCTTGAGAATTTAAATATTAATAGACTTTTCTTAATAAAACCCATTTCACCTCCAGCATGGATATAGAATTCAGACTTGAATGAAACCACAGGTACGAATGTATAGTGCATCATCTATTAGAAAAATTAACTGAAACGCCAGAGAGATAGAGGTTTTTGTGCGTTTTTTTAATGGTTTCCTCAATAAACCCAATCCACGTAATTAAGAGAAAGTGCGTGTTAAATTGATCACAAGGTTCTATAGAATAAGGACTTATAGAAAGCATAGAAATAGAACTGACTGCTAAATTAATAAAATTTTCTGCTAAAAATAATTAGCAAGATTTAGTGGCGGCTCGTGGTAATTTAAAATGGATGTTCACTTTTTCCAATAATTTTATCATTTGTAAGTTCGGATCACATCTTTATACAAGAGTCAATATCGCTGTTTTTTTTATTATTTTAGTTTGTATTAAGTGTAGTTATTATTATCAACATCATACTGTTTTCAAGCACTTCAACTATTAATAAATGAATATTTTAGTTAGTGTAATATTTGTTTTGTTTTTAATACGTTGAAAACTATCTATAAACATTATTAGTTAGTAAACTGACTTTTCTTCATAATTTGAGATTATTTTTAAATATATATCAGGTTATGTAGAAAGCTTCACATTGATTTCTGTGTAAAATTGAATATGAAACTTTACCTACCATTTTTTAGTTTTTATTGTAAGTTTAATCATTTACACAATTTGTCAAAGATGTCAAATAAACAATATATTTTTTAAATACCTTTTATTGGCAAATAAAATAAGAACTAAAATGTTTTAAATGTTTATTTTATAAGATCAGTCCCATCACAATACATAATATTACACAGACACAAACTAGAATAAAAATATATAATGCCTGGCATTCTAAATGATACTCTTCTCAGTTTAACGAGCCCCTTAGTCCCCATTTTCAAACAGATTGTTTTCACAATCAATAATAGGCCTCAAACCCTTATAGAGTTTGATTTTTACTAAAAATTTCATGTTGATATCGCTTTTCATTTTTGATTTTTTTTTTTTTAATTTCAACCCCCCTTAAATCACCCATATTTAATCAGATTTTTTTTATAATTAAAGGGCTTCTCCTTTTAGAAATTGATATTTGCTAACAATTTCAAGTTTTTAATATTTTTTGTTTTTCAGTTAGGATTTTTTTTTATATTTTAACCCCCCTTAACTTCCCAATATATTCATATTTTTTTCAGTATCAGTAGGCTTTATCTTCTTATAAAGCTTAATTTTTACTAAAAATTTCTTGTAGATATCGCTTTTCGTTTATAATTTAGGATCTTTTTTTTAATTTCAACCCATCTTAACCCCCTATTTTTAATCAGATTTGTTAGAAACCCTTATAGAGCTTAATTTTTGTTTAAAATTTTCAAATTGTTATTATTTTTCGTTTTTGACTTATAGTACAGACAAAAAACGTGACATCGGACAGACAGACAAAGTAAACCTATAATACTCTTCACAAAATACTGTATGAAGAGTAGAAAAAAAAATGTATGAGATAAAATAAACAATTTAAAAAGGTCAACAATAATATTCAACTTCTTTTATCAAAGGATACTAAAATTTTGAAATAGCAGCACATAATTGAACACAGAACACAGAAATCTGTGAACTAAACTAGTGACATACATATCGTAAAATATTATCACACTTAATTTTCCATATTATGATCCTTTCTAAGTGTAATTCACAGCACATTTCAAAGTATTCTTGCACGCACTAATGTCCTACCCTTATGGCTGCTTCTGCATGTTCAAGTTTACTAAAAAAATAAATAATAGTAATTTTGTTTAAATAGGTAAATCGGCTTCATCTGTATTTCCAAATTATTGTTTAATTGTAGATAGTATATCAATGTTTTGATATGTACTTATAGGATTGTAGCCAGAGCATGTAGATATCTGAGATGTGACTTGTTAAGTGCCTAATCAAAATCGCAATTTATGTTTGATACTTATTTCGAGACATTCTTTATTACCAACTTTAAACTAATTTATCAGTAGCCTTATTTTTATTTAATACCTGTAGTGATTCAAATTACCATAACATCTAATATTTTTGAAAATACTAAATTATACAAACAAGGCAATAAAAAAATTTCTGGTTCGTATGCAACAAACGATCTTGGTTAGAGGATAACACGATTGATAATTGCAGGCAAACATAACTTTATATAGGAAAACTATTTAAATGTACATACCATTTCTTAGGTAAAATTTCTCATCGAGTATATTAAATTAACTCGTTAATCCATTTTTCCGATTCAAACTTTTAAGGTGAAAAACCATTTGTCTCTTTATCTTTATCAAATTTTTATTGTACATTTCTATAATGATGTCTAGTGACCTCATCAGATTAATTCAATTTTTCCTTTTAGCGGGTTTTGTGAGAAAAAAAATTTACAAATTTTTTTGCTTACTTTTTTCTTCATAGTATTTACAATTGAATACAAAATAGACCATTTTGAAGTAGTCTTTGGATGGTCTTAGACACTAAAACAAAATATAATACAAATTAGAGTCGTAAAACTTTATTATATGTAAATAAATCAACATAACCTTAAAAATTTTAATTTACCTTGCCTTTCGGGAACAATCGTTGAATTGGCACATATCTTTCAATTTATTGAAGACACAGTTCTTAATTTTTTTTTTTTAATTTGGTGTCCTTGGCATCAACTGCCATGGTTATTAGCCTCGTGTTCTGTGTAGGCTTTGTTATTGTTTCCCAGCGCCACTGTTAATTAGAACCCAACAGTGAATGGTCGAGTGGGGAATCCTACCAAGGCATCAGAATTAATTTTAAATAATTAAATTAAATGAAAAAATCCCGGCCAACGGTGGGATTCGATCCTGATACCTTCTGATCTCAAAGTCATGACTCTAACCACTGAGCCAACCCACCCCCAGTTCTTAATTAAACACATTTTTTTAAATAAGCACAATTAAAATACTCTTACGTTTTTATTTAATGTATTTAATAGTAAAGGAATGACACTAATGACAGTGACAGTTTGTTTGATTTGATACAGTGTTGCCAGAATATGTTTTTGTTATGTACCAGATTTGTCTAAAAAATGTACCAGATTCCTTAAATGTATCAGATTTTTCGAATTCTATTTGCAGTGACATATAATTCATTGAAAGGGAAAAAAGGGGGTCTTTATTGATAATGAACCCAAACAAGGAACACAATATATATATTTTACACGTGAACACTGATGCACGCAGAAAGTACTACATCTAGTTCAATTGTGAATTGTACTAAACTGGCAACGCTGGTTTGGCAACCTTTTGTTTGTGAGCGGTGCCCCAATTAATGTGTTCTTTGACAGTTTGAAGGATCTGTTGGCGTGTTGTCTTCTCTTTTTAGCTTTATGCATTTCGGCATATCGTCTCACTCGTGTTAGGCTCACTCATCATAGTGCGCTACAGACACAGTATACTTAGGTATACTGTGCCACAGAGACGCGATCAGCCAGAGGACAATGATGTACCAAAAAATATAGATTAACACGTATGAAAATTAAAATATTAAAATTAAATTTATATTTTTATGTTATTTATGTAATATTAAAATAATGTGTTTTTATGAAATTTAACTGGGTGTTCACTGCACAAATTAACCAATGGAGAAACCGCCCCTGAGCAAGATAATGGGTCCTATGATTGAACGTTTACGTTATCCGTAACGTACATATTAGGCCGAGTTTTAACAGTAACGAGGCAAGTTACTTATGATGGAAAACTTTTTCCAACACATTACTGTTATTTTCCACCTGTTATGTTCTAATTTAACAGTTTTCCATCATACACCATGCTGCGCGAATATTGCCAATTTCTGAAGAAAGGTTAACGGAGTGGGGGAACTGGGAGGAGACCCGAACTCTATGACAGGGACGGAATTTGTATTTACCGTAATAATGAACTATTAGATTTACTTAAAAGATGTTTAATGGAATGTATTATGAAATCAAATTAACGGGATTTTTTAATATCAAATAGATGCAACGACATTT